TAACAACTAATACTCTTTTATGGGGGTGGGGTTAAGAAAAAAGCAATTGTAACTGCCTCCTTCTCTCTGAATCTTAGACAATGTCACCAATCTGAACTTAGAGACTGATACAATGCTTTCACCTGACATTGGTGCAAAGTCCCCACGGTATCGAGTTCTAGTAACTCTTCCTCATAGCTCCTCTTCTCAGAACAGCTGTCAACCCTGAGAGCTCCTCTACAGTTAACATAGCTTCTAATTTGGGTGTTGGTAATCATTTAGAAATGGAACACCAAGATGTGAACACCTGCTCTGAAGATAAAGGATGGAAAATCCTAGCACCACCCTTGAAAACCAGCGGACGGCTGGAAATCAGAGAGTTGAGATCTGAGGGTCATAAGCATGATGACTGGGTTTCTGTACCACTGTGTGAGATTTGCCTCCCTCAAATCCTCTTAAAACACATTATGCATCTAACATGGAAAAAAGAAATATCCAGGGGATAGGAAGGGGAAGAACAAACACTCTGTTCGAGATGGCCAACTTCACCATTTTGCCCAACTTGGACCCCCACCTCTTCTATCTTCCGGCACCTAGTGTCCATATCACTTGGCAGATGAGGGCACCTGGACATCCTTTTCTACAAAGGTTGCCAATTCAATCCCTGCTGCCCTCTTTCTGTTTAAAAGCCACTCTCTCTCAAGTCAATCTCATTTTTTGGACTCCTACAGGCAAATGGAGACTCATTCTTCTTCTCACAAACACTCATTTTCATTTCTCTAGAAGGAATACAAAACCCTATCCTGCTCAGGTGAGCCAATGGGAATATCCACTCTGAAACGGGTCTTCCAAACATAACATGCTATCAATATGTTATTTTCCAGCAATTTTACTGAAAACTGCAGAGTTTCCACTAGAGTCACAGGTAAAGGACACATTGTGGTGTGTGCTTAGCAAGAAAATGACTGAAGTTCAAAGCCACCTTGCAATGGAATTCCTGAAAGCAGAGAAACATGAATTTACTCCCCGCAGACCTCTTGAATCCAGTGCTGACCATTCAGAGCCACAGCTCCAGTATATCGTGGTTGTTGGCAGGGCTTCTGATGTTCTTTGGGATATCTTAATCAAAAAGTCCAGGAGAGTAGTTCATTTTAATTTGTGATATTAAACAAAAGAGAGAGGAAAAAAAAAAGCAGTATGTGGAAGTCAGGCAGATGTAACAAACTGTGTGGGTAATTGCCGGGCAGACAGTTCATTTTAATTTGTGATATTAAACAAAAGAGAGAGAAAAAAAAAGCAGTATGTGGAAGTCAGGCAGATGTAACAAACTGTGTGGGTAATTGCCGGGCAGGTCACGTTTAAGGCTGTTTCTACCACTGTAATTAGAGAAGTGCATGTGTGTTGCTAACTCTGAAGAGGAAACAAATCGAGCTCATTCCCTTTTCCAGTACTGAAAGTAGCAGATAACTGTTTCAGCTCCACTGCCCCAGAGGACAAGGCCATGTGAGCAGGATAGTGGACCATTCTGTGCTGTGCTGTGCTGCAAGCAGCTCACGGAGGATAGAAACTCCTGCCTGGAAATAGCTCTCTCAAACAAAACCCAACTTCATCAATGCCAACGCCACTCAGAGGGAAAGGACTGGCCCTCCACTGGTGTCAGGGAAAAGAAATGAGCACAGAGGATATCAAGAAAAATCAGGCAAAAATCAAAAGGCAAACCCAAGTCTTGTAAGGGAGACTATTTCAGAGTGTTCAAGGGGACATGCTGGACGTTAAGGACCTTAAGAAAAATAAGGGTTTCGTGACTTCTGGATCTACCATATACTCCACACCCAGCATCTCAGGAAGCAAATTCTCACAGAAGGATCCGCCGGTGTTACCTGCCCTGGTAAGATCAATTTTCAGGACAGGGAATACGAGAATACCAGATAAGCGGAAATACCCCAATAAACATCTCTCCAGAAAAGTTTCTTGCTTCCATTTATGCTGCCTCTGGGGAAGGGAAATAATCTTACTGCTTAAAATGCCTATAAAATATAATGTTTTTTAATGGCACAAATTACAAATCCAGCTTTAAGAGCTAAACTGTTATTATCTAGTCTTCCAATTCTTATCATTTGCTTAATAAGGCGACAAAGGTTTTAGACAAAGTTATACTACTTATAACACGAATGTGTGACTCTCATTGGAAGCATATGCATCTCTCTTTTTAAGTAAAAGAAAAGATATGCCTGCCCATGTGCTTTATCTACTAACAAAAGCATTTTAGTCACTATAAAACACCACCTCTTCCAGCAAGAAAATTCTGATGTACCAGAAATACAAAAGTATCAAATACCAGCTGCCATTTCCAGAGATGTGCTGCCAAATGTATGGGTAGGAATGAGTTATACTCTCCTCAATAAGACTAACACTATCAAACCAAAAGGCAGAACAAGGTTAGAGAACATCGAGAAAACTTGAATTTTGTAAAATGGTCAGATGTTAAAAGAAAGATTAATTTGAGGAGACAGATAAAAACAGGAAACACTGGGTAATTATATTACTGGTGTTTAAAACATTGTCCTGAGATTACTTAAATTACAAAAATAAAATATAGGATTAGCATATGCCCACTAGGTGTGAAATACAAATGAGACATACTAGACAAAATGTTAACAACTTGATCCATGAAAAGGTTCCTGTGAATTTAAATCCATAATTTCAGTAGGAAAATTCATTATTTAAAGAAACCTGAGGTTAAATTTTTCACCAAAGCAAAGAATTGTGTATAAAACACATAATTGTTTCTCTACTTTGTCTGGTTTGTAAATCCTGAATTACAAATATGAGGTAAAGTAAGGCAATTCACAGAATAAATACAAATGGCTAAAGCACATTTGAAAAAAATCTTCAACCTCACCAGTAATCCAGGAAATGGAAAGTGAAAAGAGGCCTTTTTCACCTATAAAGTTGGCAAAAATGTAAAAGGTTTACATTATCCAATATCTTCACTAAGAAGAATGAAAGAAAAGAGACAGGCATTGTGTTACATTAATACTGAAAATGTAAATCGCAAGCCTTTTGGAGAGCAATTCTGCAATATTGATTAATATTTAAAATGTACTCCCACACATTTCTAGATATCTAGTATAGAAATATCTGTACCAGCTCCCAAGGATATCCTCCATGGTGATGTTTGTACTAGTAAAAATTTAGCAGAAATTAAAAATTCATACACTGCTCAGTGAAAAAAACAAGTTGCAAAATGACAAAATGTTGATCTCTTTTTAAGAGCTAAGCAGGTACGCATGAGTGGATGGACAAATGTCTTGAACAGAAGTTATTTTGAGGGGGTGGGGAGAGAGGCGGGTATATGATTTCACTTTTTATTTTATACAATTTAAAATTTTTATGAGTATCTTTTTTTTTTTTAATTTAGTTAAAAGGGAGTTATGTTGATGTGAGACTACTAATCTGCTAATCCACTAAAAGGTCAGTAGAAGCTCTCTGGAGGAAACCACACAGAACCCCTGATAGCCTAATAATACAGCCATTCACCAACAAAACTGCCCAGATGAGCAAGTCCAAGGGGGACCAAGCCTACTGTGAATTATTTTTATTAAGAAAATAATACAGTTTTAAAATAACATGCTCATTTTTTTCTTGGATAAGTAATATTTGAGGAAATTCAGTAAACATTTTCCTTACAAGTTTCCACTGGTCCCCACCCAAACCAAAAATATCAAAATAATAGCAGGCATGAATCCCATTAACCCAGAATCTTTAAACTTTACATCTTTATTAAACTTTCTAAAATCATGCTCCAGCCTAGACCCACATCTCACCGATAAAGTTAAGGCCCACAACTTTAAAAAACAGAAGAGGTTACATCTTCCTTTCATGTTTTATAGAGATTGGTATAACATACCTTACTTTTCATTTCAAAAGGAATATATCCTGATTTCCAAATGTAACTCTCAAAATGATTCATTAAGTAGTGTTTTTAAGCACATCTTGGAAGAAAAGTAGAGTATTAATGATCATGATATTATAAAATGCCCCCCATCGACTATGTATACTGCATTAGAAACAAGTTCCCAAATGTGAAGTTTTTAAAAGGTAAACAACTTAGTAGCAAAATTTCAAATTTGTAAAAAGTACACACAGTGCCTCTCTCCTTCTCGCTAATGCACTAAATATTAAACAGTGTTAGGGTAATATTTTCTAGGCTACAGTGTACTTTCCACTTGTCCTCATAAGCCTATGCCCAGATGGGAAATGTAAACAGAACTAAATAAACATAATACAGAGGATGAGGAAGAGAGCAGAAAGCTAATGAACTTGTGATGCCTTCACAAGCTATAAAGTGGTTTTTTTTAATAAAATGGAGAATATGAAAAGTTAAGATGTTTGATGTATGTAAAATCCAATTGCAGATCAGACAGGGAAACTAACGGTATACTGTATATGTTGCCAGATATTTAAGCTGAAGGAAAAGAGCACCACATAGTCACACTATGGCAATTAGCCATTCTCAGTCACTGACATAACTTTCAGAACATGTCCACTTCATTCTGGATGACTACTGGTAATCTAAACAAAACCTTACTAGAATGATGTATGGCCTAAAATTAGCTGCAATGAATCCACCCAATAACACAGGTAAGAGGAAGAACAAAAACAAAGAGGAAGAACAAGAAAGAAATGCCACATGAATACAAAGTGATTCCATTTTTTTCTTAACACCCACCCACATAACACAAAGACAGAAGTTTCTGACAAGAATGTTCTCAGCAAAAAATAAAAATTACAGCAAAGTGTTTTTCCCCCCAGTGAGAAAAAGGCAGCTCCACGTGCAGATTACTAGGCAATATCGTACAATTTTTTTACAGGCCCAAATTTCCAGCCCTTATTTCAAAAATATCATGCAACTAATATATCTTTTGGGTCACAAATAAGCAATGAGTGAAAATACTGTTCCTGTTTGGAATGTTCATTTCATGATGTACTTGACAATGAAATCCAATGAGGCAGCTTACCTTGGCACTGGAAGCCTTGTTTTCCAAACCCCCTGAAAAACAGAAACAAGAACAAAAATCTCAGTACATGTGTTGGACACCACAGTGCAAGCAAGTTGCATGACCAAGTACTCTAGAGAGTTAAAAAGGCTTGTACATGAAATCCAGTGATTTGATAGGAAAAACATATCTAATTAACTGGGCATATTACTAGGCAAACTCAACTTTCAAAAAAAACCTCTTACCTATTAAGGATCACTGATTTATTTCAACATATCAAACTTCTTTCCAGTTTTTACACTATATTATTAATACTTAAGTTTGAAAACAAGAATATAACAGTATATTCTAAGTTGTTGGCTACAACATTAAAGCAAAAGAAAAAGGTTTATGATTTTTAATGGCTTAATTTTGTTTCTAAAGATCAACTGAAAATTTTTTTCTCCCTCAAGACAACTAAAAAGTGGCTTTTGCATTTGTTCAAAATATTATGTGTCTACAAGTGCCAAACAACACCACTCTTAACATTTAATTTTGGCTTGAAGAACCAGATTTTATGAAATATGATTTCTGTTGTTTGCATTTGAGATTATCATGATTTAATTTTTATTGAGAACCAATAGCAGTCAACACTTATAGAGATTATTTTGTTATTGTAAATGACTTTACGGAATTTATTCTGTAAGCAGAGAACCCTTACATGGATATTTGATTGCAAATATATATTAGAATGAACTGCATTCATCTTTTCTCAGAAGGCTGTCATAATATCATGCTGTACACAGCATCCTAAATGTACAAAGCACTTCACATACCTTCACAATTAGTCAATCCCCCAAACACCATATCTAAATCCAAACACTTAACTTTAAAATATCAGTGTTTGAGTATTGAAATACAACTTACAAATCAAAGACTCATGGAAGCAATAATGAAACTGAAAAATTAAACCCACTACAGAACAGTCTTTCCTGGAAACTTCCAAGTTAGATTAAGTGGAGAAGTACTGCAGGGATTATTCGGTGGGAGGGGGTCTTCATTTTCCACCTCACAGTACACCAGGTGACAATGATGCCTTGACAGTTTACCAGGGCTGATCATCTTGGGCACAGATAGTGGTTAGATAAGAGCCAGGTAAAACTGCAGGTCCCTTTTCTAACTTACTTTCTGTGAAAGTAATTAACAGTCTATCCCCTCTGAACAGAATCTCACAGCTCAAGACTTCCCCTTGACCGAATGCAATATCCTCTTTTCCTTGATGTGCCCAAAACTCATTTTAAATAGCCTTATCTACTATTACCCATTCGTCCCAGCACAATTGCTGCAAATGCTGACTACCTGATGGAAATCATTCATAGAGTTGCCTATGCTTTTCATAAATGTACTTTCATATGACGTCTAAGGAAAGGGAAAATGAAGCATATTAGCATGACATTCATGGGACTTTCCCTGTGAGATGCTTTTCACCAGATAGGACGGACTCAGACAGTGCCTGCCAGCCTGTGCTTATAAGGGTGGCTGGAGCATGGACATGTGGCACTGGCACCTCGTGCAGCTCCCAGGCTAGGAGAGGACCCAGAACTTCCTATCCCCACAAACAAGAGGTGGAAGGATCAGGGTGTCCTAAGATAATATAAAACTACTGCTACCCATACCAGAGGACAAGAAGTTCCCTTAGTTTCAGCTTTCCGAACTTTATGGGGAGGGGGGGTCGCTGATCTTTAAAAGTCAGATGCAAACTATAATTCTCTCACCAGGATAACAAAATACGGAAATGAACACAATTTCAGCTAGCTTTACAGATCCAGAGACCCCTGAAGCCTTTCCATTTATTAATTCCCCACAAGCCCCCAGGCTCCTCAAATTAACAATGCTTACGGTACAACTCTGGCACCTTTAGCCATTACAGTATTTTTTTTTTAAACAAGTTCTCTGTCCTCATCAACAGGGTTATGAGTTTAATCTCGTGTTGACAGGGTCTATTTTAAAAGACTCCTGTGCCCTTCTGCCATTTGCCTGCTCTATTTTGCCCTCCCTCCCCCACTGGAAGCTTTCAACAGTTTGCTGCTGCTTCTCTCTCTCTCTCTCTCTCTCTCTCTCTCTCTCTCTCTCTCTCTC